GGGAACCCTGCGCTCACCCCAACTCTCGCTTTTGCACCCCAGCAAGTCAGTGTCCTATTATTGACCCACAGTGGGAATCACCAGAAGGAGTCCCCATTGAAGCCATCATCTTTGGAGGCAGGAGGCCAGAAGGTGAGCAAACATTGAATCAAGAGAGAGGAGTAAAGATGTAAATTGGGAGCAGAAAGTAAGAAAAGATTAGCAAAGATGCTAACATAACTGATTCTCTTCAGGTGTTCCTCTGGTATATGAAGCCTTCAACTGGCAACACGGGGTATTTGTTGGCGCAACAATGAGGTCAGAGGCCACTGCAGCAGCTGAACACAAAGGTCAGTGACACTAAGAAGATCTCCTTTGGTCTTTTGGGTATTTTACAATCTGCAACTCCACAGAAGTGAAGTAAAGCCACACTCACTCACAGCCTCTCTCATTTTTTTCTTTACCTAGGCAAGGTAGTCATGCATGACCCCTTTGCCATGCGACCTTTCTTCGGCTACAACTTCGGCCAATACCTCTCTCACTGGCTGAGCATGGCCGACCGTCCAGGTGCCAAGCTGCCCAAGATCTTCCATGTCAACTGGTTCCGAAAGAGCCCCAAAGCTGGCTTCCTCTGGCCTGGCTTTGGAGACAACATCCGCGTTTTGGACTGGATGTTCAGGCGAGTGGATGGCAATACCGGCGCCATGCCTTCTGCGGTGGGCTACCTGCCCTGCAACGACTCCCTGAACCTCCAGGGCCTACAGGGAAAGGTGAACCTCAGTGAGCTGTTCTCCTTGGAACATGAGTTCTGGCAGAAAGAAGTGGAGGAAGTGAGGAAGTATTTCACCACACAGGTGAATGATGACCTGCCCAATGAGATGGCCCGTCAGCTGGAGCTGTTGCAGCAGAGGGTGAAGCAGATGTAGTGAGGAAGAAAGCAGAGGTTAGGTATTTTTAATGGAAACTACATGGATTTTTGTCTTCAGTTTGTCAATCATAAAGTGATACGTATGAGATTCAACAAGCTAGTTGGAATTGTAAAATATTTCTTCATAGAGTTTAATTTCGCAACCTTTATGAGCAATCCTTCTTTTAATATTTTTCCATGTTGTTTTCCTCTCTGCTACCTAGCAAGAAATACCTAATGATACTTTTTGGCATGGCTAATTTCCTCCAGAAATATTTATTTTCCATCCATATGCTGTTGTAGCAGGACAGTGTATTTAAAACCATTTGTAATATGTTGTCCTACTCCGTGTATGTCTATTTAAAGGTAACTTATTTCAGATATACATCATCGTTTCCTATTTAAAGGGATAACTGTTTTCTGTTCATGTTATTTGATGTCTTAATTTATTTTTATACAACACTGGTGACATTTTGTTCTGTTTATTATAATTTGAATCTCTCAAATGAGAAGACAGCAATAAATGCATTTAAAGATATATTTGTGATTCTGATTCATTTTTCAGTGGTTTGCCATGATGACTTTCCTCCTTTTATCGTTAGGACATCAGTAGACAAAGCATGATTATATCAAAACATTTTTTACAAACACATGAATTCTGCAATGTACTAAAGAGTAGCAATTAGCATCATCTGAAACAACTGACTCAAGAACTAAGACAACACAACTAAGGAGTAGCATCAAATTAATTGAAACATCTGATTAAGTATTTCATAATGTCAGACAAAACATTTACAAAATTCTGATATTTTAAAGACCAAGACAAAAGACCAAGACAAAACAATGCTTAAGGTCGTATTTGTATAATGTATCTTAGAAGAGGGTAAATACTGCCAGTGACATTGTATGGTATTTACTGTATATTCAAATGTCACAATAGGCTGAGCAAACAGAAAACACAAGAAAGCATATGTACAAACATGAACTCTCACATTCACAGACTTCGGGTCTGTATCTTATGTATTTTTGGTTAAAACATATTTGTCCTTCATTTAGTGGATTTATTTTCCAGAAGACAGAGTATCCCAAAATTGTATGTAAGAGTAGTGATACCTAATAATAATATTAATGAGGAGAAAACATATGTAATATTTAAATATAATTTGGTTTAGTCGTCTAATGTTTGTACACAACTCTGATGCATCGTATGAGTTCAGGATCCTTTTTATGCTTAAATGTTTTAGATCAGAGTTAAGCTACTGCTCTGAAAATGATCAGGTGCTGGAAAATAATAAAAAATCTAATGAAGTACAAAAAACATTGATTGTCATACAGAAGCTTAAAAGATCAGAGAGTTTGGATGTTAAAATTCAAAAATATGCAAAGTATTGAATTTCAAAGTAAAAATCAACCTTTTTTTAAGGCTGGTGGTTTTTTATTTTATTTTTATTTTTTTTAAGTTCTCTTCATAAGCAAAAACATCTCAGATGAACATGGAGTACAAAACCCCGGATCGTCATCAGCTGAACTGTGTTTGTGGGAGGCCACATGTTTCTGTCCCAGTGGTCGCTGTGGTTTCATAACAGGTGAAGATAATGAAGGAACCACAGTTAATCATCACTCGAATGTTTTTGACTTTCTCTCACATTGAAATTCTGTGTGCTGATAAAACTTATGCTGTTTCATGCTGCTGTAATCTGTTCCAGAAGGATTTTAAAAACACAATACAAACAAGTGTAAGGTGCTCCAGTAACATCCGCTGACAGATTACAAGGAACTTCCCTTCTTCATTATGGATGCAACATTATAAAAACATTCAGATTTTTATTCAGTCCTGCTTCTCCTAAATGTTGTCAAGCTATTGATGGTATTTAAGTTTTATCTTTTCCTGCTTTAGCAGGTGCAAACAAACACAGCTAAATGTTTTCAGAGGTGATCTTAAAGTCACTTCAGCAAATTTAAAAGTCCACACATCCCAGCTCATTTGCAGCTGGTCTGATCTTTAAGATGTGTGAATTTTCTAATGATGTTCATAATACAGGATGTGTAAAAAATAATAATAAAAAGCTTTCACATGAGCTGTATGTCAGTTGCAAAGTGGAATAGTTGCATGACCTTTCCCCTACATCTTTAAAAACAAGAATCTTGTTTAGTATGTGTCTAAGTAAATCTTCACCACTGATTCTTTTGGCAAGAAGACAATTATTTTTTTTTCGGATTACGCTGACAATTATTTACTTGTTTTCTGCCATGTGCAGACAGTCTGAATGTTCTTGTTTTTCAGCTGCCTTATCTGAAGAAATAATTACCTTGCAAGAACGTAAGCTCCTAATTTTACAGCATGTCCCAAACATGTTTTTGTGCTCAGCTCTTATCACATTTTCTGTTTGTGATTTAACAGGATTATCTGTGAATTTACACATTTGTTTCAGTGTATAATTTATACCCTACGTTCCTGTTTTCTAGGTTTTTATGGCCTTGTTATGTAACATGATAGATCAGTTACTCTCACCATTTTTGCAACAGTTTTGGTTTTTAGAAATGTTATTGTCACACCATTACATTATATTATAGTGTGTATATTTTCTCACATCATTTTAAATTCTACTCAACCTAAAAAACAGTAATAAAAAATCAATCAAATTTTATTTTTTTCCAACACATTGTGAGATCTTTAGCCTCATGTTATAATATTGTTATTTTTCTGAGCAAAATAATTATTTCAGCTTTTCTGCATCAAACGAGGAAATTATGACAGCCGATGTCAGACTGCCCAGGGCAACTTTGGCTACTTTATAGTAACTTACCACCACCAGTGTGCCAATCTGTCCTAGTTAAAGAGCTGTACTATATTTTACCAAATAGTAAGGCCTCTTATTTTTTCTTTATTGAAATAAACAGGAGGTACATCCCATGTCCTCAGTTTTATGGTGTGCAAATTGTGTTAATATTCAATATGCATGTATAAAAACATCATGAAAGGATAGTACTGTGAAAGTTATCTGCTTACTGAGAGATTATCTCACAAGCGAAGTTGTAATTCCCAGTGAACATGAATGAACAAGCGAAGACAGTTTCTGAGAGACAAATTGTTCTAAGAGATAAAAAAGTTTATCAGCTGCTGCTGCTCATATAAAGGCTTGGAGTCCAGCATTATACAGTAAGGATTAGTGAATGCTGACTGAGTTTGTTGGATTTAAGAAATATTTTCCCAATTTTCAAAGAGATTTTTGATAGTTTTCCATATTTTGTCTCATCTGTCTTGGGTCTTCCTTTCCTTCCTTAATACTTACCAAATTTCAACAAAATCCACTTTGCTAAAAAGAAAAAAAACTACTAGGCCAGTTAATGACAAGCCATCACAGACGCACAGCACCACCAATGCAGGAACACACTCGCCTCTAAGCTGGGTTACAGTAACGGATTAACAGTCATATTTTTACCTGGTGAGAACCAAATCATGTATGAGGACAACATGCAAACTCCATGCAGAAAGAGCCCAGGGTGAGATTCAGTTGCAAGGCAACAGTGTTAAACTGTGGCAACGCGCAGTCCAACCTCAATTCACCCTTCATATATACTGGAGTGAAACTGTACTAGAAATACCATTTGTTGTCAATCACTGCAAAAATGCAAAGTGGATCAGTTTCCGGTTTTGAATGTAGTTATTAAACTCATTTAAAGTCAGGTTGCATTTCTACAGCAATACATCGACAGAGCCAAACTGTACGAACACCAAAAGGTCATTTTAGAAATCATCTCAGCAGATTTAAACTCACAGGTTGAATCAATGCTTATTGGAGACAGACTGGATGCAAAGTTGAAAGGTCTTGAAACAGATTAGTGCACGTACAGCAGCTTACTTAGGAGAAATGGTGCATGTCTTGTGTCACATACAACAATTTACACAAAGTCTCAACAGTTAAGTATTTCATTGTTCACAGACAGCTGAGTAAGGGAGAACAGAAGGAAGGGAACAATGTGAAGTTGTGCAATGAAAGGACAGCCTGCAGCATCAAAGGTGAGTTCTTATCAGCTGTGAATGTAATATTTGCACAGTGAGCTGATAGAGCTGACACAGTAACACGGCCCAGAGGTCCGGTCAGACTCTCACCTCCAGTAAAACGTCAGCAGTGACGCTTCCTGCTGGGTGCCGCTGGTGATCAAAGCTCAGAGGGAATTCCAGACGATGCGTGGAAAAGCTGCAGCCAGAAAACTCCACACTTCACCAGCAGATCTGATTCGAATCACAGCTCCAGGAACACCGACGTCTGTTCTTTCTCATGTTTTAGCCTTTATACACCTGCAAACAGAGAAAGAAGTAAAAAGTCGACTTATTTTTTTCATGTCTGGGGTGAAGATGAAGAAGATATTCTTCAAAGTATAAAACATATGTTTTGTAAAACAAAGACTTTAAAATGCATTAAAGTGCAAAAAAATATATTTCAGTGACTGATATTGATAAATATAGCATATCTGATTGATTCTAGCATTAAAAATACTAGAAACCAGTATTTTCTGGTTTAATTTTCAAACCAGAAAATTGTCAAGACAACAAAGACACAACAGTGTAACAGCAAATAAGACAGGTTTCAAAATCAAAGAGAGGACTATTAAGAAATAATGTTAGAGCGGGTCACAGTCATGCTCTGAATTTCTAAAAATTAACTTAATATTATTTAATCCCAACATTATCAACTCCTACATGGCATTTTAGAGATTTTATGTGAAACAATGTGACCAGAACAACTTAAAAAATCTGAAAATAAAAGTCCTTTTTCAAAACTACCCAAATTCTGAGCTTTACAGCCGAGCCTTTGAGACTCATCAAGCATGTTCAGTGTTTCTCGCTTCTATATTTGGCCAAATAAAGACATTTATTGGTGTCTCTTTGAGAGACACACCTGACAGACATATCCTGGTAAAGACTAAAAGGTACAAAGTTTGTAAAATGACTCACTGACTGATTTTTGATTGTCAGTGATCAACCTTTTTCATTTCATTTCCATTTTACAACCTATAAGTAAATCCTTCATATCTTTTCATTTCTCCATAAACACACAGAATAGTATGAGGTAAGACAGCAGGGCGCCAAGTATGCAGCAGGACAGTAAAAAACTGCAGTAGCCTGTAGTAAGAGCCGTCGTAGAAACTTGGCAAAATCACAAAACTGTAACGCAAAGTTCACTGGAATCTGCGTAGTAACTGGCTGGGATCCATTTGGGATCTGGGAATCATTTACTAACTGATCAGAAATCTGCCAGGAGACAGTCGGACAAAAAATCAAATCCGGTGTGTGGCAGGTATGTCCTGCCTCGGCAATTTATTAGGTTATTGTAGGCAACTCTTACCTTTAGTTCATCTTGAAAAAGACATTAAAAAAAAGAAAAAATGAAAGGAACTGATGTCTAACCAGTGTGAACAGTATTACAAGTTTCGGTAACATTTATTTGAAGGGGTGTGCATAAGACTAACATGACACTGTCATAAACATGACATAACACCTGTCATGAACATAAAGAAGTCTTTATGATTGTTTATGACAGTTGTCATGAAGTCTCATTCAGTAAATAATGACACTTTTAATGCAAAGTTGCTCTAAAAGTTGCATTGAAAGTCCATTAAAAATGCCAACTTATCATAATTTACAAAATCATGCACCAGCAGGTGACATAAAAAACACATTAAAAAAAAAACGCAGCACAGTTTGGGAAGAACAGTCAGCTTGTTCACACATTTGCTGCAACAGTACGGTCTAACACTCGACAAAAACATTCCATCCTCCGCTGAACTATATATAAAAAATGAAACGAACATCTTACAAAAAGTGTTAGCTAAACGATAGTAAAACATTTTGTCATCAACTGCAACTTTTAGATAGTAAAACAGAAGTTCCGTGAAAAACTCACCTTCTTCCGTAATAGCCATGAACGGAAAGAGGAAGTGACGTCACAGGTCACAACCGCAAAACTTCAGCTAAGCGAAATTTTCTCAAAATTATAGATTCTTTTAAAATAATAATTTCAAGATAAAAATGAAAGACAATAAAATTAAGAAAAAAAAATAAAAATACATGAATATACTTAACAAGTGAGGGGATTTTTGTGGAATGCATTATGTTTTCGTTTTTCCACGCTACAACTGCTGGTTGCATTTAATCATTTAAAAGTTTTAAATTCTATTGTTTTGTTAATTTTATGGATCATTTACCACTTTGGTTAGTTCCTGCTATTTTTATATAAAATTTTTAAAAAGTTGTCTTGGCTTGATGGTTGAAATCTTGGATCTTAAGTCAAATTGATACCAAATGGACAGAAAATTGACTTCACAGGCCTCAAGGTAAAAGAGCACTTAACTCTTAGATCAAGTTAACCTGCTACTTCAACAGGACTTTGTGAATGTGAATTATTAAATGACACATTTATGAAACATCCTTTATAAGGACAGTGGTGTCTCAGACAGATGCCTTTGCCGATTGAACTAGTAAATAGTGAAAGTTTTCAGATTTTGTTATTTATTCAGGGTTCAGTTTGCAGGATTATAAATAGAGATAATAATGGATAACAATTATTTTTTTAAAGTAATCAAAAAACGTGTCACTTCTTGTTTAAACAACATTGCTTTCTTTTCAAATTAAAAGTATTTGTTAGAGTTTGTGCATCTACACATTCCTGCCACAGGTTGTCAGTTTGAGTTGGAGACCAGCTGAGAAAACACTGAGACTCACAGCTGATATCAGGATTTCACATTAACCAATCATTTAGTGGAAACCACTGAATCTTTATACGTTTTCTGATTGGCTTCTCAGTTATCTTTACTTTCTACTTGTAGATTTACAGAGGTTGCTGTCATGGTTTTATGTGAGGACATAAGCCAATATTTGACCTGCCATAATTTTGACTCTGAGAGAAATGTACTGTTCTTTATCTACCCCACAGCCATATAACCTAATAAACCAATAAAACTAATCAAATGCTATACCTCTGCAAAAGTCACAATCAGAAAAAGTAAATGTAATTAAGCTGCAATAAACAAGGTGTTTGAGGAATGGTTTAGCAAAACTTGAGTTCACTTTACTTGAAAAATTAAAAACAAAATCATTATTGAAGCAACAGCAAATATAAAATTGGTGGTCAAATGGAACCAATGAACATTAGCTCTCTTGCTTTTTCTTTTTTCTATGAAATATCTCAAGACATATTTAAGTTTCTAGACACAACTAAGACAAATAAAAAAGAAAAACAAAGTTTATGCAAAATATGAGCCCATATTAGAAATTCAAGGCAGAAGTTCTGCTATTTTAAAGTCCAGGTGAGAAAGAAACACTAATTGAGTGGTCCTGTGTCTCAAGATGATATTTTGAATTCAAGGTATATTCAAAATAATTAGCAACAGTGAATTTCAATGCATACAAATTTATTAACTTCATATGAACTTATATTTGCTTTTTAAATGTGTCTGCTTAATTAACTGCACATTTTTATACTTTGAGCAATTTTTCACTGCGTTGTGCTGTCTGACAATAAAGTCTGTCTGTCTGTCTATCTATAAGTACTAAAACTGTTACTGAACGTCCTGGTGTCTTTGTTGAATATTTTAGCTTTATTGACTCAAATGGTGAACATTTGACAATTAAGGTATTAATCGCACAAAGTTAACATTCTTTTTAAATGCCACTAGAGGGAGCCAGTGTACCACACAACTCACTGTCCCTTCATTTTTATTTTTTATTTTTTGTTGTTTGATTTTTTAGTGTTTCCGTGCTGCCACACACCTGTCTGAAATAAATAGAAGATTAAAAAGCTCCTCCAGCAATTAATGAAATGCTTAGGACGTGATGTAAGCATTGTTACTTAGATGTTTTGAAGCAAGTACTCTTTTAAAATATGAAAGACAATTGGTCCCAAGAACGGTTGGGATCCGGTGCTCTAAACTCTAAACTCAGTCATTTTACCAGGTACACTACGGTGTTCGCTTGTTAACGCAAACATGTTAACATCTTTCTTCCTTTCTCTTTTTCTTTCCTTTTTTCTTTCTTTCTTTTAGTTTTTGGATGGGTTTACTGCAGGTTCAGCCTATAACATGAAATTTCTGTAAAACCAATTGAAGTGCACCATCTGGTGGACACTGTGAGAAAATCAATCTGTTATTTTTTGTAAATCATTTGGGCATTAAGCTTTGCAAATCCAAATTGAAGATATGTGACATGGCTGTATGTGTGATAATGTTCAAATAAACCTGTTATCACAGTAAGAAAGTTTATTTCTTAAAGTCAAAGACAGTTTATTTCTATAGTGGATGAGCTTTATGTTCTCCCTGTGCGTTCACTGGTTTTCTCCAGGTACTCTGACTTTACCATCCAAAATTACATTTACTCGAGTAACTTTTTAGAAACAATGCACTTTTAGGATTTACTGCTATGATTCGTGTAATTAAAAACTTATCACTTTTTGAACCCCATGAAGAAATAAAAAAGACAGGTCAGGTGTATTTATAAAACTTTTTTATTTGTACTTTTGTTAATTCAAAGGCTAACTGAAATGTGTCCGATTCTTACCAAGTTCTGTATCACCAACAATGAAGCATTGTTGAGTTCTTTTTGCAAAGAATATAACATAAACCCATCAATGTGAACATAAGTTAAAAGGAACTGTCTTAATACACAAATAAGCAGGTATTACTGAGAATAAAATAGATCTCTATATAAGTGTGTTACCCATGCTGTGAGATAAAACTGTCTGGAGTTTAACCCCCAAAAACTTTTCTGCAATGACAGATCACTGGATCCTCACAACTTGTTCTGTCCTGGATGGGTTGTAAGATTCTGCTCATTGCTGAAAAGCTGACCGTAATTCATGTTTTTACATTTAATTTTACTTTTCTCAAAGGTGGGAATCCGGAGCAGAACAAACTCACCACACTGTACAACTCCCACCATTAATGTGCCCTCAGGATTAAACTCCACAACGGCTGGAAGACTTTTTACAACAGTCGCAAGCGTTGCGGCGCAGTCGTAATACAGAGGTTTTATTTAAATATGAACACATCACATACTGCAACAAAAAGAGAGTGTTATCACACACTTGGTTTTCTACAACATTGTCAGAGGAAGAGGCGCCAGTGCAGCGCTGATTCAAAGAGCGGAGAAGCACACAACACTGCAGCATGAGAGGAAACACACAAAAAGGGGGGAAACCTTAATTTTCTCCAGTCGCCTTGTGCTAATGACACATAAGTGCTTCCAGAACGGCTTGTTTCTGGACTAATGTCTTAAATTATCAGGTGAAGAAAAATGGAGATTCAATAATTCAGAGTACAGCTCCTGATTTTGCTGCTCTGTTATGAAAATGGTGTTTTCTTAATAAATTTGGGCATGTTTCCTCCCTTTTCCTGCAGGATTCCTTACATCACACAGCCAGGCTTATTCAATGTTCCAGGCTGTGTTCGGTTAAATGTCAAAAGGCAACAGTAATGTAACACTGGACACCAGAAGGCACACATGTAGAGTTTAGAGACGATAAGAAAAAAAAAACTGACTTTATACTGCATAAGAAAAAAAATAATAAAAGGAATGACTGAAACTCTTTATGCCAAAAATGAACATATAAAAGCACAAATTTGCAAACTAACAACAACACCTTCAACTGAAAAGGGCACTTAAACACAGAAGCACATGTCACGGATTTCCTCTTCTGCCTTACTGATCTGCAGCCTTTGTGTGTTTAGGTAGTTTCACACTCTCAAATTTTACAAATGCAAACAGTTTTCTGTGTGAACAGTGAGATAAAGTGAAATCCTTTTTTCTCTCTTTCTAAAGTGATAAACAACAATAATAACAATAATTCAAAACAAGATCTTACATTTAACACACTACGTTAAAATATCACTAATATCAAAAAGGCAAAAAGTAGTTGTATTGCAACAATCTTCTGAGGCATCACTATTGAAACCATCAATCTTCATCAGACTCATCACCACCATCCAAACATCATCATCATCATCATCATCATCGTAGTCTGAGACAGCGCGGCCAGGGATGATTGACAGCCCACACAGGCCGCTCACATTTAGCCCATCTCAGCACAGGCAGGCACACTTACGTACGACATAGCAACAACAACAAACGACGAACATTTCCACGGAGACCCAAACTCGGTCGGCCAATGGCAGAGGGGGGCCCTTCTTGGAAAGGAGCTCTGTGATTGGACAGCGGGCATCTCTTGGGAACAGGAAGAGCTCAGAGACAGGAGGAGGAGGGAGGCGCTCTGGAGAAAGACCAGGTGTGTGAGATAAATGGTTTTGCTGTACCTTGTGTGGTCCACAGTGAGAATGGTGATGGTGGGGGGGGGGCACTAGATGAATGAAAGTGTGTCTGGCTCTTTAAGTAGTTTATTTAGACTGCTGTGTGTGTGCGGTTGTGTGTGTTTGGTTTTTGTCTAGACAGCTGGCCAGGCCACATCGCTGCACATTTACTGCACAGGAATACACACCCACGCGCCTTTCACATGCCCTGATACACACTATCTCACTTAAGAGCCATCAAATTGGCATAAAGCATTAAAAAAAGAAGATTGTGAAGAGAGTTTGCAGTGCATATGAAATGATTTTTGCCTGCATATAAATGTTTGATATGTGTGACTTTCCTTCTTCCTCCACTTGTCTCTCTGGGTTTTGTCAGCCAGTGCAGGCTTTTCATATAGTGGGATGCACATATTTATTATTATTATTATTATTGTTGTTGTTGTTGTTAGCAGTGGTATTCTTTTTCCCAATCATCCTGATCAGAGCCTTTTTCAAATCTTTATTCACTCGTTACAAACCTTCTTCTCTCTGGTTTAATGGTCAGGAACGATTCATGATCTAAATATCATCCTTCGGTAGTTTTGGGTGGAGGGCTTAGTTCCCTTTGAGTCATGATTTTTTTTATCTTTAAGTGCTTGACTTTAACATACGTCATTGATTAGAAATA